ATATATATATATATATGTATATATATACACACACACATATAAATGTTCAGGTTACCCATTGCTTCTAGGAGATTCTGAGACCAGAATCCAAGCTCTGTGTGATCTGGAATCCCTTCTACAACATGCTCCCAAAGTAGCCCTCCAGATTTGCCTGAAGGCCTCTAGTGAGTGGGACCTACTACATCTCAAGGCAGCCCATTTCACTTTAGTATCCTTCTGCTTTTTAGGCAGTTTTGCATCATCTCAAGCCTAAATTCAGTTCTTCCCAACTTCTTCCCATTGCTCCTATGTCTACCCTCTGGGACCAAGCAATGTCTAAACCCTCTTCCATATGCCAATCTATCAAATGCTTGGAAGTAGTCAAGTCTACCCCAAGTCTTCTCTTCTCACTAAACATCCTCATTTTCTTCCACTAATCCTCCTCAGGCATGATCTCAGGCTCCTCATTATTTTTATTGCTCCCCTCTACTCACCCTCTAGCTCAGACCTGCACAACTCAGCAGGAGCTAGGGGCCAAAATTAAAACAAGCTAAACTTCAGGCCGCAGATATGTTAGACTAGAGATAGATTGACAATGGTTGGTTGCCGCAGGTTATGTGATAAACAGGAGAGTTTGTGCAGTAGCAACCCTACATTTTTTTGTGGACCACCTGAAATCCTTTGAGGGGCAACAAGCAGCATGTGGGCCATATGTTGTGCAGGCCTGCTCTAGCTCAACAATGTCCTTCCTAAATTGTGGTCTCCAGAACTGAACACAATACTCCAGGTGTCCGATGACAAGAGTAAAGTGGGATCTACCATAGTGCAAATGATTACCATTCCTCTCTTAAGGCAATGTGAGAATCAATTTGTGGTGGGGCAGCTAGGTGATGCAGTGGATAGAGCACTGGCCTTGGAATCAGAAGGACCTGAGTTCAAATTTGGCCCAGACACTTGACACTTACTAGCTGTGTGACTCTGGGACAGTCACTTAACCTTAGTTGCCTCACCAAAAAAAAATCAATGTGTTTTTTTGGCTGCCATATTACACTTTGATATTTTGAACTTGCAGTCTACTAATATTCCCAGATATTTTTCAATTGAATTGCTATCTAGCTTTGCCTCCTCAGCCCCCTTCCCCACTTCCATCTTGTACTTATGAAGTTGATTTTTTTTATACACATGTTTTTATAGTCTATTAAATTTTATCTTATCAGATCCAGCCTAGTGTCCTACCCAGTTAAGGTCTTTTTGAATTATGACTCTATTATGCAATAAGTTAGCTATATTTTCAAGCTTTGGCCTCTCTGCACACTTGATAAGCATGCTACCAATGTCTTTATCCAAGCCATTTATGAACATTTTAGACAGGACTGCCCAAGTGCTGATCCCCAAGGCCTTACTTTGAAGGGGACATTGAATTATTAATGACTACTCTTTGGGTCTGGCCTTCCAACTATTTCCAAAGCTAACTGTACCATCTATCCCTATGTCTCCATCTTGTTCACAAGAACAGCATGAGACTGTCAAATGGTTTGCTAAAATCAAAATAAACTATATATTCAGCATTCCTCTTATGGAGTCCTTCCTCACCTCTGACACTCATTTCTTAAAGGCTCAGCCGAAGTGCCAGGTACCTACTCTCTAAAGTCTTCTTGTACCTTCACAGTTGTTAGCATTATCTCCCTCCTCAAATTACTTGGTATTTACTTCTTTGTGTCCATATTCTATCTTCTCCAGTAGAGAGAAAAGGGAAGTTATTTCATGTTTGCATTTGCATCTCTTGTGCCCAGCACAGTGCCTTATACACAATAGACACTTAGTGTTTGCTGTGCTGAATTGACTTGACTATCGGCTTCCCCCTCATGTTTCTCCCCGTAGCTTCTGGGGAGATCGTTCTGAGGTTCCTAACACTCCAGTGACCAACCAGAATGAGCACTGCAGTACCCAAAACCAATGCTACTAATTTCACTCCCAGGGTCTCTTCTGGGAATGAAAGTAGGAAAAAAATGTGATTAAAAATCCAAAGTCTATAAGAGGGAAAATATGTATTTGAAGAGTAATAAATGAAAGGCAGAAGAGTTTAGCCTGTGGAAAGCAGTCCTCAGCTTCACATAATCCTCCTTTTCCTTTAAAATGCTCATCTTTAAGTTACAATCCATTTAGAAGTGAGTCCCTAGGATCCAGAATGTTTCCTTCCAAGCCCCAACACTCAGAAATGGAGTGCATCCTACTCATCTTATTCAGCATTTTCACCTTCTGTTTCTTCTTCCCTCTCTTCCTCCTCCTCTTCTTCCTCTTCCTCCTCCTCTGGTTCAATTTCCTCCCTCTTCATCCCTTGATTTTTCCCACTCTGGTCCTCATTCTCTCTTTTTATATCATCTTTTATTTTTACCTTCTTTCCTTCTTTCCCACCCCTCTCTGTGTCTGAGTCATCCATGTCCCCCTTTTCTTTTTTCTCATTTTTTCCAACCTCAGGATCCTCATATATTTCATCTAAAAAGAAAAAAAAAAAGAAAAGATCCATTAAGCTCAATTGCCAGGCAGAGAAAACCAATCTGTAACCTCAGGGTTAATATTGCTGTGAAGCGCATTTTATGAGACAGAAGACACACCCAGAAGAACAGATATTTTATTAGAACTCTAATTGAGATTCATCTACACTTCCTGTCTAAGAAACACAGGCATTAGCCTGTGTGAGTATGAGAGGACAAGGGTGCATGTGGGGGAGGGGCAGGGTACAGGAGAAAGGGATAGGATCATAGCCCTAGGCCTGGAAGGAATCTTAGGGGTCACTGAGTCCAACCTTTTCATTTTAAGGGTGAAGCAAATGAAGCCTAGAGAACTGATTTGCTCATAAATGGCCAAGCTGTGATTCAAACTCAGGTCCTCTGACTTCAAATCCCATCCCCTTGCAATTCCAGCATGTTCCCGGGTTGTTGAATTTCATTTGCTGTATTCTGTAACTTCTCTGAATGAGAGGAATCCCTTAGATGTGTGTTGATTATTATTGAGTGGGAAACTTTGGGTGGAATATGAGCTGCCAGCCAAGAAAGGAGTTGAACAAGTAAGTCTTACTGGAGCGCTGTCAATCCCGAGAGATCCTTTGCCAAAAAGCCCGTGCACCTTCTATTTCTGTACCTCCCTTTCCTGGGACACCCGTCACAGGCTCTCAGGAATTTCAATGGGGTAACTTGGAAGTCTCGTCCTCCTGTGGCCTCAGGGAAGACTAAAACGTGCTCGTGTGCTGCCACCTTCAGTCCCAAGAAGCACTCCCCTTTGGCAGAGGGGAAAGAGCCTGGTGACTCTTTATTCCTCACGGATTCTTTAAAAAAATTGTGCATACCCTTTGATCCAGCAATAGCACTTTTAGGTCTGTATCCCAAAGAGATCATAAAAGCGGG